GTAAATATGTATTATATAGGCTATTGTGGTCATCAGCTGGTATACAGTAATACTATGTCTGAATATTTGTTTTTCTTAAATTGTTTTGTTTTGAATAGGCCATTGGCATTGTTGAAGGTCATATGGTGACTTTTATTTGCTTAAACCCACTTATTTGAAGTCTGGTGGATAGTTGTCTCACTGGCAATCACACCACTTCTCCTTATTTTAGGATACGGAAAAGGGGACTGTGTCAAAGAGAGGGCAACTTGACCAAAGAGCAAAAAACAGCCGAAGGCCACCAATGGGTCTTCAACACAGCGAGAAAACCCTGCAGACCCGGAAGCAGGATTCGGCTGGCCCATAAAAAATAATGTATACTAGTTCAGCGAAAATAGACTACACACTAAATTCCGAAACATATAACTGAACCAAAATTAAAAAAACATACAAGACTAACAAAGGCCAGAGATTCCTGAATTTGGACAGGCACAAAAATGTGGCGGGTTAAACCTGTTTTATGAGATCTCAACCCTCGCCCTATATCTCTAGCCAATGTGGAATAAACAAACACACAGCAACACGTACAGTCAAACTCAGTTTAAAAGAAATCAGAGTCCGATGTCAGAATAGGTAACAGAAGAAACTTAGCAAAATGACAATGATCAACATAAATTAACAAAGGACTACTAGCAGTTACTGACAGGCCAGCTCCAGACCTCAATTAAACTGATCAAAAGATTATGTTGTTTATACATGTATACTTGTGAAAATAGTAAAACAGGATGGATTATACTTTCACCATGCTTCTGTTATCAGGTTTAATAATTCTAGATAGGAACTAAACTGACATTAAAATCTATTCTTTGAAGATGGTGCATAGCAGTAATAGAACATGGAAGAGATAGATGAGAAATTAAAGTCGGTTGTTTATGTTAGGTAACAGGTGGCAAAACAGACAATTTATATAATTTTACACCTGTAGATTTCATTAATATCAATCGATTCTTTGAATATGTGATGTACAAAAACAGGCTTACTAGTCCTATTAAGACACTAGAAATACCTCTCATGCCAGACTCTTACTTGGTAACAGACATCAAAAAAGATATCTTCTCTCTTATGGATTGACACAATTGTTTTGGATTGGGGTCTACAGTAAAACATGGAATAAATAATTATGAGGATAATACATCAAGCATATTTTATTTTTTCTTCACAAAACCATGGCCACTTTTCCACTAAATTGTTCATAATAACAACTGCTTAAACATTTTTTCTGTGAATGAGTCTAGAGAATAAGCTATGTTAAATGGAGAAAAAATTGAAAATGTAGTCTGCATTCCCTATACAGACAAATAATTAGATGTTTGTCTTGGTATGGCAAGATGACCTGAAATAAATATTGATTTGCACTAGAATAAAAATTTATTTTGCAACATAAACTCAGCATAATTCTCCCTAACAAGCAAATGGCATTAGAACACATTATTATAAACTTTTGCTATTTATCCACATTGTTCAATTCTCATTTCATAATAACTTGCATAACTCAGTCATTTCATAATGTGCTGAAAAAAGGATAAATCTGGTAAATATTAATGAGACAATTGCAATTTTATTTATTTTCCAAAGTATTTTCATACTTCTGATCTACATGTAACTGTCATTATATATTATATCAGAATAACAAATCATTATTTATATTCCAGTCCATGTATAACCTCCATATTTCGGGTATGACATATAATTATGATTGACAAATCTTACATTATACAGCTGAAATCAATGATTTTGGTATGAGTGCTGTGCAACAGAAGTATTTTCATATTAATATAAGAAAGGCAATAATTGATTGTTGACAGATTGTAATGAAGAAAGATTTGTTGTGAAGTGGTAATATATGTCAAAAAGTAACCAGTTTCAACTCCAATTTGGCTTCTTTTGAAATGATTTTCAAAAGTTCGGAATATCTTAGGAAAAAGGGTTCAAAGCTACTACTTTATTTTGTAGTTTGGATTGCAAGACATGCATGGTTTCAATGGTATCAAAGCCTTGGCCACTTTTAACATTTGCTGAAAATCTGAAGAATTTAACAGGCATGTTCTGTCACATAAATTTTAATGTAAATCTAAAATTAAACTCACTGTCAGTCATAACAAGTGTGCAGTCTCCAAATTAAAGGAGTAGGTTCATGGAGGGTTAAAATTGGCCCTAAGATTTTAATGTTTTGTTAATAAAGGTAAAATACAACAATTTTACACAGAATAGTTGTTTAATATACTACTCTCAATCAGAATATCTTCTTTTTTGGCACATCACATTATAATTTATGAAGTAACAACCCCTTAATTATGCATTATTTTAGTTGTATCGTCAGTTGTGGTCCAATTTTTCCACAATTTAAAGTAGTTTTTAGCATAATTCTGCGGACCCTTGCGGAGCACCTGAAGTTTTTGGTGGGTTTTGTGTTGCTCAGTCTATAGTTTTCTATGTTGTGTTTTGTGTACTATTGTTTGTCAGTTGGTCTTTTTTCTTTTTTAGCCATGGCGTTGTCAGTTTATTTTCAACTTATTAGTTTGAATGTCCCTCTGGAATCTTTCTCCTCTCTTTTACTTAGGCCTCAAGCCCTGATCCAGAAAATGTTTGCGTCTAGGGATTCAATATAATCATTGGGAGCCTTTTGGTTACAGAACATTTTGCAGAGTTTTCCTTTTAGTTCCAAAAAATGCACTAAATCATCATATTAGGACTATCTATCCAAAATATGCTGACTTATGCCTGTAATGTACTCTTATGAAGAAATTGGTTTTACCTAGCATTAATTCTTTTGAATGTGACCCATTTAAGAACTAAATTATGGCCTTTATGATACACGTAATGATGAAGATGAAATTCCATGCCATATTTGGTCAAAAGTGAACCTTGTCCTTTCACAACCAATTAAAACATAATTATAAATATTTTTTATAAGTTTAAATATTCTGTTATAACAGATAGTGTTACCTTTCTTATAAATTTAATAAAAACTAGTTTACAATTTTTTCTATTTGTACAGGTTTTTAAAAGTTTTTTTGAAAATTTCTTGAGGCAAATTAATATTTTTAATAAGTAAACATGTCACTTGTATTTTCAAGGATATAGGTATAAGAAAGACAGGTCTGGGCATACAATCTTAAGATAGACCAGAGATGTTTATTTAGTTATGGGAAATGATATAAAAGTCTTTTTTAATATATATTAACATCTAGAGAGTAGAGAAGCCAGTTTTTTATTTGTATTGGATATTTAAAAGGTATTTTTATTTCTCTGGAACGGAAATACGCTAGATTTTTGCCATATTTAATGGATGACACGTAATAAGAACAGACCTTTCAAATGCATGTTGTAGCAAAATTATACCTTTTTATATCTTTAATCGCATTTATTGATTAGCAAATTGTTTGTACAATAAAGAAGCTGACTTGTAAATTATAAGTAAACATTACAGATCTACAACTTTTTGATAACAATATAAAAAGGTTTGATTATTAAGCAATTTTATAGACTACTTGGTGGAATGTTTGTTGTAGAATTGATCCTATTGTACAGCTTGCATGTATACCTGTCACTTCAAAAAGTAAAAGTATATAAATAAAACCTCATTGAACCAAGTTGAAAAGACCAATAAATCAGCAAGATTGAAAACAAACAATAGGAAACTCATTGATTTGTGTTGTAAATGTTGGTATTTTAGCATTAAAACTAACACTTCCTGTAATTCTTTTACATTTGCTGCTCCTATTTAAAGACTTTCATAAGATTGTTCCAAATGGTTGTCATTTTAATATTGTTTATGAATATTATTTTAATGACATCACCACCATTTTGTCCTTCTGTTGACGACTATACAAGAGGCATTGAACTAAGTTCTCTTGTGGGTACTGTTAACCACATAAGATACAGTAACAGATATTTTGCCTTTGGTGAAGCAAGATCAACATATGTATTCTTTCATTGTCACACAGTATAAAAGGCAACTTACAGTACTGTTGAGAAAATTACCAGAAAATATTTTTGAAATTGAGTGCTTTTTTGACAAAGTTTAAATTTTTGACTACTTTTATTTGAAATTTTTGATCCAATTTTTGATTGCATATTCAGGAGAAAAACAAGTTGAATAATGAATTTATTAAAGTAGTATACGTAGGTGCAGAAATTTACTACAAGTCACTTTAGCACCTCTCAAATACTTTTTTTCTGAGAATCTTAAATGTGCATATAGGAAGTCATGCTTTTTACAATACATGGACACCTAATAGCTATTCTGACCAGACAAGGCTTCATTTTATATGTCCTGCACATCCAGACACACACTTGATAGTTTTCAAGCTGTGGAGGTATATATGTGACCATAATTCTATACCCCATGTACTGCGACACCCTTTAAGCTCTACTGTAATGATAATACTACTATTATTTGGAACAAATTCTGAAATTTTGTGATGACTACATATATTGTATACCACACTTAACTCAGTGATGAATGGATCATGGCAAATCAAATGAAGGGGATATCTGAGATTATGTTACATACATAAGAATAAGAAGCCTGATGCCTGATTGTAAATAACATGTGAAATCATAATGTAAGAAATAATTAGTCAAGTCTCAACTCCAGAGGAGTATAAAGCAAGTTTGTGAAAACTTAATACATGTATATAGTCATATGTTTTCTTTAAATCTGGTTTTTATGTCAGTTTTACCACTGTGAATCTGATGCAGATATCCAAGCTGTTGCTGTACTTATACTGATAAATCAGAATTTTATAGATCTCCTTCTGTACAATAAATCACAGTTGAACCAAGCATATACTCATCTTATGAAAGAATTACAATGTATTTTTTCACATGCAAAAGATGTTAGATTGATAAAAATAAAGGAAGGTCTGAACTACATGTAAAACAAAAATGGTGAAATCTTTCAGGGAAAAAGTGATAGCTATCTTTTGAATTACATTTGTACTTGCTTTTTATTACAGGTAGTGACCATGAAGAAGAAAATGCAGAAGATTTCTTCCAAAGGGTAAGGTTTAATATTGTGCTCTTATATTCATAACAGAACTACAACCATAAAAGGTTGACTGTGAATGACTACAGTTAATGATGTTTTATAAAAGATGCATCCATTGAACTATCTAGTACCTTGATTGCAGTACAGAAAGTATTTCATAAGTAAATTCAGAGGTAAAACTCACCAAAAAGCATTGAAGCATGAAAGATAAGTCAGATTTATATATTTTGTTGAAGGTTAATACAATTCATCAACTGGAGATCCTCCCTTATATTAAATTATTATATTATGTGATTGAGGTATCTTTGAAATTCACCTTTGATACTTTGATATATAAACTTAATTTACATAAAAAAACATGGGTAATTTACCTGCATGTTACTTCCCTAAAATCATCTTCACACCATTACAGGCTTCATGCTGGGACAAAGGTCCATAAGCTTAGACTTTTTGAAATATCGTTTTGGCTTGTAAGAATTTCTACTACAGACCAATTGAAACTATGCAAAGTTTTCCAAAAATGAGCGTCTGGTCTGCGTAGCAAATGTTTATCATGAAAACTGCACTAAATTATATGATTGAAGGTCGCTTGGTGTTTAAAACTGATCTTGGATGACTTATATAGTCCATGAAACATAAAAATGATACACTTAGTAGCATATAGTTCTGAATTCCTCAGTACACCCATCAAAATATTACCAATCAGTTTCTGAAAATTACATTACAATGTCATGCAATGCATGGCAGCTTATAGTTATAAATCCTTAAATTTGATGAAACCAATAGAAAATTGACAAAGAAAGATTTTGAGAACATGATATATATTGGTTTTGTATACAGAACATGCAGCACTATGAAATACTACAGTAGCAAAACAATTTGATGCTCTTCTTAATTTAAACAGTTGCTTGAAAAAAAATCTACAACAAGATACTTATATATTGTCAAAGATACCTATAGATGTGTTTTAATGTTTTATATTGTTGGAACGATGTCTCATAAATTGACTCATTGTCGAGTATACCCTACATCTCTCTTAAATCATTTGTTTCTCTAGTGGACCCAAAATTCCCTTCAAATATTCCCTGCCTGTAAATTTAAGTTAAGATTTATATTTTAAAACAGTTTACACCTCTCATGCTTTTAAAAGAAGAAAAAAATGGTGAACATCTTTTGAAATAATATTGTAACAACAATAGTACAAGTAGTTAGAATTTGAATTTGTATAAAAGGCAAATACTCTGTTATGAAGTTGCATATTTGATTAAAAACCACATAGATCTAGATATGCTACATCGAATCTCACTACTAGTTAAACTTTGTAAGTACAGGGTTTGTGACAAAGCTTGAAAAAGAGATAATTGAGTTTTATTTTCAACTCTTCTTCAGTCTTATTTATTGTTTGGCAGCAGTCCTACTTCTAGTTGTAAACTATATTGTTTCTGTTGTACCTGTAATTAGATAGCCATTAAGAAAGGGCTTAAATGAACATTTCATTGATTAGACCTTTTGTTGACATTCTTCAATAATAAATCAGATTTGAAAACCCAAATCTTTTTAAAGTATGGGGTAAGCTCTGCTATCAGTTGGTACATATAAGTGCCATTCAGTACTTGTGTCGGAAGTCTTTAAATAGACTAATACCCCCATGTTGGTAAAAATGTGACAGGCTTCTGTTTATTCGTGTACTTTAATTTGTTTGTATACATATTAGTACAATAAAATGTATTGCTGTGCATTGTACAGTCAAATATGCAACAGAAAATAAAAAATAAAATACACTGTGAAGTAACAGTGAATACATAAGAAAACAAACACAAAAGTAAAATGATGTTGAAATAATTTGAGAAGATAAATTCTTCAATGTTTTATGAAATAACATGTTGATATCTTTATATACATTTGCACATATATACAACTACATATTAAATCGAAGGAAATAGAAATGTAAATTTTCAGTTTAATGTATGTTTAATTATTTATAATGATAAAAAAAGAAATTATGCTTATTTAATAAAAACCTACTTGTCAATTTATTTCATTTACTTGTTCAGGAAGTTGTTATTTTCTCTACCAATATAAGTGTTATTTAGTAATCAAATTTTGGCAAAATCATTGAAAATATCACTTTTTATCAGACTTTTTAAGTTTTTATCAGATATATTGTATTTTCAGATTATGGAAGAATCCAATACTAGAATTACATGGCCTTCAAAGTTAAAAATAGGTGCAAAGTCCAAGAAGGGTAAGTAACTGTGTCAATTTGTAACAAAGAAATCTGAATGCAGAAATACTTTAGTTTCAAGATGGTCTTGTTTTTTCATGTCCAATTTCATTCTACACACAAAATACACATGACATCATCAGAAATCTATGCAGTGCTGGTATCAATATAATGTAATTTTTATGAAAATATTATGAGTGATGTCACCTTACGGCAGGTTTTCATTAGAGTGAAGGGATCAGATTAGTAAGGTGGTGGAATTATTGAAGGGTACATATATATTAAAATCATTCTATTTGCTTTATTTGCCTGTATGAAAAATTAGTCCCATGCATAGAAATATGAATTATGAAAATAGAGTTCTTTTGAAAGTATTTATTTATAGAATCAGATTCTATAGATTTGTAGTTATTTTTCAAACGAGTGCATGCCATAGTTCACAAATATTGGTAAAAAAAATACCAGAATCCACAAATATACTTGAATTAATAATAATTCTACAGTCAAGAGAGGATGAAAATAGAACGACCAAAATATCATACATAGTTTGATAATTGCAGACATGTCTTTGTTTGTTAATAAACAAATTGTTTTGAGGACATTTGTGGTAAGTTCAGAATTTTGCTTGACATCAGGTCACTGCAGGAACAGTTGTTGTGAGGACTGTTTGTATTGTGCAGAAAGATAGTTCATGGACGCCATGTAGCTCAGTCTAAAGATATAGCTGTCTATTTGTACCATTGTTTGTATTGTGCAGAAAGATAGTTCATGGACGCCATGTAGCTCAGTCTAAAGATATAGCTGTCTATTTGTACCATTGTTACTCTTATCATATGTTGAACTTCAGATAAAGATGATAAAACAAAGGCAATTAACAATTACATATGTAAATGATAACACAAATTGATAGATCAAGAAAATTCTATTTTAGAGGCATTGAATACATTTATGTATCTCACAGCTTTAATCTGTACACCTGGTTTTCAAGCATTGTCATTTGTAACATGAAGTTATTATTCAAATGAAGACTTTATAGCTGTACTTTTGATTCATTTTTCTTTTAAAAAGAGGATAAAAACTATTGAAAAAGTAATAGCAAACAACACTTAGTCGAGAGCATATTATGAAAACTACAATGTAAGCTAAGGCTTGCTTTGAAATCATAACTTGGTCATATATTTTTATGCCCCCGCCATAGGGGAGGGGGGCATTTAGTTTTTACCCTTGTCCGTCTGTACGTCGTTCGTCCATCTGTCTGTCCGTACGTCCCAAAATTGGTTTCCGTTCTCTAACATTGTTACTTCCTCCCATTTGAAAAATTTCTATCATCCTTAAGTTATGCCCCTTTACAAATGGAAAAATTGCTGGATTTTTTGTTTCAGTTCTCTAACTTAAGTTTTCCTCAACTAAATGTTATGAAACGTATACACAATGCTAATTACCACAAAACTCTGATCAAGTACAAATTTGGGTAGCGTCACTTTTACAGTTCTTGAGTTATGTCTCTTTATAACATTATATGCAAGCAGGCGCATCATCTGTGTCCCATGGACACATACCCCATTTATCTTTTAAAGTTTAAAGTTTTCTTCTTGAATATAAATTGGAAAGAAAATGTAAAGTTTTGAAATGAAAATAAAGCAGAATATCTTTAAATCAGTATTTTCTTATTTTGTCAGGGGATGTTAAGACAACATCAATCAATCATTGGTTGTACATGTTTTCATCATAATCAGAAAGTAAAATTACTTTAAAAAAATGACATAAAATAGCAAAGCTCCCTGACACTGGTATTTAAACAAGTGCATGTTATAATGAACCACTTCATGATAAGTCGGCTGTTTGTCTTCATCATTGTAGAAGGTTATCTTATCCCTGACATAACCAATACACATCACTATCATATCATATATATTTGGGGGCATACTGTAAAATGTGAACTTTGTAGCTACTTAGGTACAACTTTTTTCTGTCAATGATTCTCTATATTCAACTGAAATTGAGCCTGCATAAAAAATGGAAACGTATATTTTTAAGTTATGAGCATTAGAAGAATAGCTTGTTCTAACTTTATCAGTGATGACTTTATAAATAATTTCTTGTATAGTTTAAAAAAACCGTCTTTCCTTTAATCACATGCAGTACTGGTACTTGAAAAAACTGCTTCAATCATATGAAGTATGATATGGTTTACCTGCTCTATTTTTTGAATTTTTTGTTTAATTCTTAAGTTTTTTTTAAATTAACACTTTAGTGAATAAAATTGTCATCATGTTCAGTGGGCACATTAAAAAAAAGTAATTTTTAGGCAGTTAAGCTGCCTTATGCTACCACCCTAGATTTGTGTTCTTCCCACAGAATGGCGAAAAAAGTGCTGTTATTATTATCTAGCTGGCTAATATGTTATTAATAACTAATTGGGCACTTTTTTCATACTTTTAATTCTGGAATACAAAAAATATGACCAGAAAAACCTTAAATGATCGTCGAACAACCCAAAAGTTTTGAAGTTGCACATAGGAAGTAGTGCTCAATAGAAATTCGTATGTAGTTTATTTTCCCCTGTGTTTTTGGCTAAGATGTCAAAGAACAATTGTATGAAATATTTAATCGTCGAAAAACTCTAAAGACAAGTCGTTTACTTTTCCCAAATGACAAAAGTCGTAGGAATATTGTTTGTCGTCGATACTTATTAAATACGTCAGTAGTCTATTAATAAGTTGGCGGCAATTTCAAATTAGAAGACGAAATTTACGTATCTTTTAAATTTGGAGGATTCTGATGATAGAAAGGTAATTATTGTTAATCATGATATTCTTTTTGTTTGAGATGAGTGTTAATAAATTGTGTATTCACATTTGGATTTCATTATTTTGTATTACTCCGTTTTTCACATAAATGACCTTGTCAAGTAATGCACCAACATGGTGTTTACACTTGTTGAATAAAACCGGAAATCAAGAAGGTCTCACTAATTACCGACAAGAAGATTGTAGAGACAATAAGCGACAAGAAGATAAAACTTAGCGACAGGAAGAATGAATTTGCGATAAGAAGATAAATTTAGAGACAAGAAAGTTTATACACTGTTAGAATAATAAATTTATAGAAAAGTCAATTAATTACAGTTGATTATTTTCTGTTGTGTGAAGTTTAAAATTATGTTACATTTAGTAGCCGTCCGTACTTCTTGACGCTTCTTGTCGTTTCTTGTCGCTAAGAGACCTTGTAAATATGTCAAACTTGCCGAGACTGACAGTAGTATGTGATATACATGTATATGGATTTTAGACTCAGAAAGATCGTGTGATAATAGAAAGTCACAAGAAAATGTAGAAACCCCATTCATATATCACTGTATACAGGTACGGATGTCCGAAAAATGTATAAAATCAGCGAGAATCAAAAAAGAGCAAATGTGAATATAGGAAATATATGCGGATAAAAGAATTCGGTCTAGATCACCTTGATCTTGACATGAAGCCAGTGTCCTACTCTCAGGCACTTGTTTATATCCATGGGAAGATTTAGGAGCTCAAAATATACGTTGATATTGGGTCTTCCCATGCAAAGAAACAAGTGCATGTGGTCAGACTTTGACATTTCAATGTTTACGATATTTTTTCTAAACCAGAACTTTTTTATTTCTGGCCAATTTGGGCCTAAAAAAATCTTCATCTATGGCCCATTTTAAAGAAGATATATCTTTCAAGAAGTGTAAAGTCCAAGAATGTTTTACCAACCGTTTATTTATTCCAATATTGATATAGATCTCGAGTAACATCATGGACTTGGAGGGGGCGGGTCAAGGCAGGTCAATCAGACCTCACCTTTGACTCCTGTTATAGTTTGATTGTCTGATTTGTGTCATACATTTTGTACTGTAGAACTTAAATTGAACAAACTCAGTGTTCTCCACAGGGAAGCAAGTCAACGCACACTATTGCAAAGTTGTACCATGCCATTTAACTTATACCACTAAAAGTCAACTCAAATCAACATTAACCACTAAATTTTAGAATTCACAATATAATTCTGTCGGATAGACCTATCAGAGACCATGTGTCAACTTACAACAGAGGCAGACTAGAGCATACTATATTAAATGACATGTTCATTGTATGTATAAAATTGAATGAAAGAAATAGCAGTGGCGGATCCAGAACTTTTCATAAAGGGGGGGGGGGGGGGGGGGGGGGCGCTGACTGACCTAAGGGGTGGGCCCCGCTCCAGTTATGCTTCAGTGATTCCCTATATAATCAACCAAATTTTTCCCACAAAAGGGGGGCCAGAGCCCCCCCCCCCCCCCCTTGATCCGCCTATGCCATGATCCCATAATGATTTCTTTTCAAATTAATTGACAAAACTTGTGTAAATATAATTTATCATGATTGTATATTGTAAATAAACAATATAAATATTTGTATTTGTTTTTATTTTAGCTAGATTCCAATTCTTGGCTTTAATATCCTAGAAGTGACAAGACATGCATGTACAATACATGATACTATCTAGTAGCTGCATTGACTAGTCATCATAATAATTCCATGACAGCTATGAAATTCTAGACCTTTTTGATGTTTTAAATATAGTTATACATGTATGACATGTTTATCTACAGATATGATCGAAGTACATGAACTATGAAACTTTTTACCAGGTCTTATCATATGACGACTAGTCAGACAAATTTTGGTTCAGATTTCTGACAGGAATTTTTACAAAATTGCCAGGGGTTACAACACATGAATATTATTTTCATGGAGTTTACTGTAACCGTCCAGTTATTTTTAGAGGCTGTCTAATGATATGTCTGTGCAACTGTTACTATAAAATGTGGGAGATACATCGTATAATATGCACACTATTAATATATATATACAAGTAGTAACCCAGGTATCAGTTATATAAAGATAGTTTGAATACATATACATAATGATGATACAATGTGCAGATACATGAAATATGTTTTATAAAGTATGTAAGAAATGAAGAATATAAACATATTAAAAAAGACAGGC